AATGTCTTTAATTCTTTGAGGAACAGGTGTGAAAAGTGCTTGGAACAAGGAGGGGGACACTTTCAGCAGCTACTTTAATTTATTGTTATAACAAGGAGGGGGACACTTTCCGCAGCTCCTTTAATTGTTTGTTATTGTTATCACGATTATTCTTTAAAATAAAGTTATATAGTCATTAACGTTATTGAAACTGACAGCTGCTGAGAAGTGAGGTTAAGTTGGTCGCTATAAGCTACTCCCTACGTCCAATGTGTCAGAGCCAACTTCGACCACGTTTTTATTTGAACGCTCGTTATAAGACAAGCCCTTTTACCGTGTCAAGGTAACATTCTTTAAAAGGTTTTTTCCTGTTTTTTTTATTTTTATTAATTTTTAATTTGTTTTTGTTTCTTTTTGTTTTTTTTCTACTTTTAATTTTTATTCAATGTTACAAAAATTTTCATTTTATTTTTAAATACCGAATTATTATCTTTGGTGCTGAGGCTGATTGGTTCTCAGTCGATTTATTTTTCTATATTGTATAGATATATCAAATTATCTCACCATGATCATAAAATAAAGCATATTTGAAGAAGAACAAAAGAGAAGTTAACACTGTACGGTTAAAATAGCCGAGTGCATTTCGCAAAAAGTGGAAAATTACATGTTTAATGTAACTGTACTTGTATTATGTAATTTTACATAGCCTGTAGTGGCGTTAAAATAATCAGTGATGTAGTGTGTAATTTTACATAAAATTTTTGTGTAACAATAAAAATTTATAATAAATATTTGTTTTTCTTTTAAATTTCTTTGATGACTGCACTTGATTATGGTCGTTATTTCAAAATTGTACTATTTTCGTGTCTACATTCCTTTTGCAACTCCAAGTGCAATCATTGTTTTTGTATGTGTAAAAATCCATGTTGAAGGGAATATTTTTTTTTTCATTAGGTACCCCAAGACAGTTTCTATAACTTTTATAAAAATTGCAAAAATACTTGAAAAGCCTTATTAAAATTTTCATACAAAATATGTGACATCTTAAGAGTTGATTAGTATTTAATTTACATAATTTTGTGCACCTATTTTGAAAAAGTATAAAACGGAATTGTAGTCAAATTAAATATATTTCTAACACGTTTTTTTCGAAATGCATGTTTGATGGGACTGTCGAATATTACCCCCTCTATGGCTGCGTATACGTGTGAACCGAACAACCAGGGGAGGGCAAATATCCCGAGACGAGGGCAAATAAAAATTGCAAAACACGCGAATCGCTTAATTGCTTATACCGCGGAACGATTTAAAACTGGAACATAATCCGGACAGTACGCACATATAGTGTTTACATTTCATTAAAATATGCGCTGAAAACTTCCAACCACACGTTTCCAATTAGGAATACAAACAGTTGAATGGCGGCACAACTGCTTAAAATAATAACGATTCCGGACGGGGCCCCTCATAATCTCTTATTAATTTTTATTATGCGCAAATATTCGCCGGCAGGTTTTCGATATAGCGGGAAGGGTTAGATGATTGGATAAAACGCGGGGACAGTTCGAATAAGGTGACTTCCCACAGGCCTGATTTACTCGGTAATCCTTTTAAAAGCAGACCATATTTTTGCTGTAGGAAATAAAAATTTGTGATTGGAAGATGAAAATCTTTATAAACAACTTATCCAAAAAAATTTTAAAATCTTTATAGTTTCCGAGAAAAAATTATTGAAATTGTAGTATTTTCAACCTTTACATCGCTGGGCTACTGTCTCTAGCGTCATTCGCCCATGTGGCTCCAGGCGATTCCGAATACTGAAATCGGATTTTAGTATTATCGTCGTTGCGATAGTGTTTACATTAGTTTTTTAAGTGTCAAAAATGGCTTACGTGTATAGCAACTGGGAGTTGATGGATATCGTTTTAATTTACGGTGAAGCAAGACAACATTTGTGTTATGGCGAAGTATTTGTATTATGGTGAAGCAAGACAACACTTGTGTTAGTTCGTAGAAACTAGGTAAGGCGGGCCCAAATGTGTTTACAGGTCGGTGGACAAAATTCTGAACAGTTATTGTAACATCATGTCAAATTATTTTATTAATTAAAATCACAAATTAATTTTATTAATTAATAATAACAATAGCGGGAAAAGCAGTTGGATTTGCTTGTTTCGAAGAGATAGCGGACTGTATAAAAAAATGAACTATCAAAACAAAAAATAATTATTAATGGACTCACCTTTGGGCAAAACTGGTTTTTGGTCTATCACTGTGAAACTCAATGGGATAGGGGAGGGAAAATGGTATGAGGTCTTAATAATAATCAATAACAATAAACTAAATTACTTCAAAATAGACAATTTAGGTGTCGCGTGTGCGTTTCGATTCTAGACTGCCTTTTTTACCTACTCGTATTTACTGCTATCGGTATGGTAATATGTATATTTAATTTCTTTTAATTGTAGGCAACCAATATTACCCTTTTAAGAAAGTCTAAACATTGCTTAGGTAAATAAAATAGGTGTTCTAAAATTTTATTTATTTCTTTCCTTTTTTTCCGTTCATTTTTTTATTAAACTTTGCTGTTGTGCCAGTCGCAGACTGTATGCTTTAAGGTCAGGTCTTATAGTGGACCAGTTTCCAGTATCATGCAAAAGTATATTTTTAAATCATGTTCGAATTGTCCTTTTTCATTTTTGTTTTTCCAAAATTCCCCTGTACCTACATTAATTTTTTTGATAAGATCTGAATTACCCTGTATATAATGCAATAGAAAAATTTTAAGTTGTCACGTACTTCAGCGAACCGAAGATCACGAATTAATTGGTCAAACACTTTTGATAGTGTCAAATCAGTCCTCAACTGCTGCAGAAATAGATCTAATAACAAACACAAAACCAAAAAACGGTATGTTCTTTTGATCAGACCCTATTATTGTAAAAAGTCTGAAGTCATTTTGGCGCTAGCACTAACCATTTTCGAAAAATGCTCAACAAATCCATTATTTGAACGTGATTAAGGGTGTTTCACGAATATACCAGTGAGGTACGCGATTTGGTATAAAAATGTTGGGTAGTTTTTTAATCAACGAGGTACCTTTTTTGTCTCCAAAAGATCTGTGTAATGGGTTTCTCTTTCTCTTTTTGTGTTTAACTTTTCATTACCCTTTCAACATCCAACAGTAGTCTTATTTATGTACCAATTATACCTGATACCTTTCCCGATTTCCCTTAAATCTTGGTGAAATCGATCACATTGCTCTTCACTGCAACTACCTATGTTGTCGAGGTAACTCACAAAATCCAAGTTCTCTGAAATTCTCCCTCAATTTTATAATTATGACACTTGCGATTAACCAAAAAGCTTTGTGTTGCATGTTTTAATCTTTAGTCTCAGTTTCATTCATTTTGGATATAAAATTTTCATCACGCAACATTTTACGAATTTGAGGTCCATCGAATATACCCTCTTTCGATTTGGCATTGCTGATTTTTGGAAATTTATCTACCAGGTACCCATAACATTAATCTTCTTTGTCCTAAACTTTAACCAATTGTTTTATTAGTTCAAGTTTTATGTGTAGTGGAGGGAGCAAGGATTTGGATGGATCTTGAGTAAGTTAAGACATCCTGGATTCAGATCTGTGATTCTTCCTGTCTCTACTGTCTCATAAATACAGTAAACACATGGATACTTAGTAAATTCTGATTGCTGTCCCAAGATAATAGCAATGGCTTGGAAATCTCCACAAATATATCGCTTGCGCTGTGAATATCATATTTTCTAAGACGTTTTATTGAGTGTACCATTGGAGCTGCAGCATAATTATTACTACAATGTAGTAAAATCGCCTTCAAGTTTGAACAAGTGAATGAAAAACATCCATTAGTTGTCTTTATAAACATACGTTTGTATTTAAACTATTTTATATTTCTAAGCAAATAAGCGAACTTTAACTATTATGACAACGAAGATGATAAATTACCTGATATCTTTCTGCTGTGTAGTAGACCTCACATATTAGTTAAATATATGAGTTTAGTAATACGACGTCTATCATGAATGAGAAAAAATAAGAAAATCTTGTAAGATCGAAAACGAGGTCATAAATTAATATATGCTCATATTAAATTGCATGAAAATGAACAAAATATGATCCACATAGAAGCCATCAACAACAATCAAAACTAATAAATCTGAAACCGATAAAATCTTCAAAAACTCATATACGCGGTTCTATTTCCATTTCATTTTCTGTCTGAATTTTATGAAGTTGTTGGTAACATTAATAAAAGTCCTGAAGAACTTTATGGAATCATTTTAAAAAAATCTGTTATAGAGGACGAATCATCGTGAACATTTTTGCATCTACCCGATTCTTTTAAGCATCCCATACGCGTATTCTACCAAAATCGTCCATTGTACGGTTAAATAAAATCACTTATAAAATTTAGCATGCTATGAGAATATTTAGAATAGTAGGTATGACTTAATGTCGGCTTCTTTGATGTCAAGGTCCCAGAATTCGTTTTTTTTAGCAATTGCGCATCCAAAATTTTTAAGCGGACACATTTCTCATGATATGGTAATCTAACTAGAAATCTAAACATGCAAAGCGTTCAAAATGTTTCTGAAATGAAATTGAAAACAGTAAATAGAATTGATAACTAAAAATTGACATACAAGTACTATGTAACACTGTCACAAATACAAATGTCAATACTTAAACTTAATTTAATTAGCAATACCTGGGATGACCACTGTCTGGGAGCTTTTTAAACGCATTCAATAAATGATTTCAGTCACACTACGCATTTAGAAACCGGAAATCAAGTACTTTTTAATCATTTTGTAGTTATAGCTACTATCCTTGATTTTGGCTTCATGAATGTAGTAAATTGGTCATATTTTGAAAGATTACGTGAGAAACAAGAAGATATGGAATGTAGTTGAAAAATCAGATCTTTAGTTATAGATAATAACCTAAGCTATGAATAACATGATTGAAGGAAAATTACCTGCGTTTCTGTCAGTGACAGCGACTGCGCCAACTGCTTCCTCTCGGCTCCTACGACGTAGTGGTTCTTCTCGAAAGCGTGCTCTAGCTTCAGCAATTGAGACGGACTGAAGGCCGTCCTTATCCTCTTTGGTTTTCTGAAGGGTTGAAGCAGAAACCCTGGGATGTCAGGTCCTGAAAAAATAGTTTCCTGTACAATTAGGTATAAATGAATGCAAAGCTATAAACCTTTGGACTGCGCAGACCATACAAAGAGACAGTACAGACGGAGGTTTGCAGGAGAGTAGTGTTTTGGATGACTTACAGGCCATGTAAGTACGCCCTAGTAAAAATTATAAGCACTTGTCGTTTAAATACATATAGTCTTGGTCATTTTGATTCAGTGTAATTATTTGTAATTGTTATTATTTATATAATAAAAATATTGCTATACCATGAAGGACAAATCTTAACAAAAGTTACTGACCAAAGAAATGTACCCTTGCTAATAATAATCCATAATCTGTACAATTTGTATACAATGTAGTCCTACCAAATTTATCACAATTACCAAAATTTAACACGCGCCTACAAAATACAAGTTCCTCATTTATATTCTAATTGTTTCTCGGAAATTTTGTCGTCATACACGTGCCTGGACATTACACACGTGTTAACAACAAATTTTATTCCTCCAGAATGCTCACTTCATGCTGAAGAATACAAAAATGTGTTTACCGAACATTGTGCTTTTCCTGTTAATAGAAATAAGTATTTTATGATAATTTATGAAGGTTTCGTGATAAAATTCAAGATTCTTCGATACAAGTGTTAATATTAATTACGTGTATTATATGTTTCGTTATATTTTCATCTGTTGGTTAAAGTCAATCCCCAGAATTTCCAGTGCAGTTGAGGCAAGGTGAATTAAAGTCAAATTTGTATTAATTAGTCATCAGCCAATATTTGTATGCAGGTTGACGTGGGTTCTTAGACCATATAATAAAAATGCCAGTTGTGCCTCTCGAAACTAAATTAACAAGCGAATTTACATAAGTTTTGAACAAAAGGAATTTTAAATATACTGGATACACCCACAGAGTGAGAAGGAACTTGCCATCTGTGCAAACCAAAACTATTCTTGATCGTTATGATTTTTGTTTTGAAAGTCCAACTATTTGTTATGCAACCTTGACTTTTTTGCTAGGCATTGAACTATAAATCTACATCTAGTGACATAATTACAAAAATTTGACTTGCATGTGGACATAATATTTGGACCCAAAAACGATATTTGGAAATGCAAACTAAGTGATGAGTGATGTGCCTTTTTCAGCTAGACCAAAATGATTACTGTGAAACATAAATAATGTTTTTTTTTAAATTAAACTTACTAAATTCGAATGACAATTCTGAAATTAAATCCACTTTTTCTGGAACGAACAGGGAAAAAGCACATATAACATATACCTATGCGGAATCCTTCACTCTTTCCTCTTCTATTACATTTTCAATTCAATTTTTTTTAATTCTTATTTCACTCTTTACAAGAACTAATAATTAGTAGTTGTCTTCAGTAGTATAAGTTAGGAAGCCTGTCTGTGGAGTATGATATGGAAGAACATTGTTAAAAAAAGTGTAGGTTTTTTAAAGCAAAAGATTTCGTTTACAAATTTTTTATGTTTAATTAAAGTTTGTTATAACTTTGTTGTTGTATATTAACTTTTTTTGACTTAATTTTTGTTAAAGTTTAGGTTAACATAGTTTAAATAACTAGATGGAGTTCTCAGGGTTAGACCCTGACACTTACAGTGTACGATAATTCAATAAACAAAGACATCTAAATAAAAAATTTAGATAAATTTGGAACGAATACACTGAAGTTGAATTTTTCGAGACAAAATGTTCAAATCTGGTTCGGGCTGAGGCAATACAGTATTGGGGGTCATGAAGGCTTGCAAAAAATGTAATAACATTTCTACGGTCGTATTTAGAAAACAGAAGTTGATGATGGTCCTGGAGAGATGAAACGTTACATACAAAAATTGATTATGCCATTCGATGGAGGGCAAAAAATGGCCGTGAGAAAGTGTTCTTCTCTTTTCAATATCACCTCAAAAAGGCTGAAATTAAACAAAAACGGATTACCCAAATTTCGGTTTTTTTCAAATATTTTGAAAACTAATCATGTTACCCTTAATTTTTTAGAGGCGTAATGTTGGTCCCCTGATTACGCAACTTTGTCCCCATTTAAGCTAGTTTGTATCTCTTACCGTTTCGAGATCCTTGCAGAGAAAAGCGAATTTGTAACAGCCTGTATATATTATATTAATGATTCCATATAACTGAAGCAAAATTAATTTTACTAAATACAAACGTGTAATATAAAAGCAATATAGTTTTAGAATTAGTAAACTGTTTCGACTGCCTCATAATGAAAACCAGCATCTTAAGTGTGTTAGATATTAGTTTGTTAATATGGGCATCAAATAACATTTTACTATCAAAATCACTCCGAGGTCTCTAATTTCATTTTTCGATTTACAATTAAGTCATTAATACTATGTTGATATGGGAAAGGTTGTTTATTTCGAGTAAAAGTGATTATATGGCATTTGTCGATATTAATAAACAAACTATTGTTTTTAGATTGCAAAAGCATCAAGATCGTTCTGAAGTTTTAGAAAATCAGTAACGTCACGAATAGGTAAAAATAGCTTAAAATCATCATAATATCCTAACAAACTACAATAATTAAGGCATTCTATAATTTTATTAATATAAATTATGAACATTAAAGGTCCTAAGTGCGATCCCTGAGGTACCCCTGAGGGTATCATAGTGAAATTTAACTTGAATCCGTTAATTTCGACACACTGTGATCTGTCTGTTAAATAAGACTCCATCCAGTTCAGCAAGGTGCCACCCACACCGACCTCAACAAGCCCATTCAACAAGATTCAATTTTATCGAAGACCTTACTAAAGTCGGTGTAGACCGTATCAACCTGAACTTGATTGTCCAAATGGTCTAGTATAAATTCAGAAAATACCATGAGGTTAGTTTCAACAGATCTATTTTTAAAAAGTCCATGTTGCTCAGAATCAGCAATAATTTGTGTTTTAACCAGTGAATATACGTGATCATAGATAAAAGTTTCGCAAAAACAGAAAGTTAGCTTATAGGTCTATAATTATTTATAAAACTGCGTTGGTCATTTTTAAGATAGATATAATACAGGCCCTTTTCCATTTAGTAGGAAAAAGATCCTGTAGAAAGTGATTGATTATAAAGGAATGTTAAAGGGAATGCCAAATTCAACTTTTTTTTGCGAAAACCGGTGGTATATTGTCCCGACCTCCACTTTTATTACAATTTAAATCCTTTAAACCATTTCTAACATCGTCTTCATATAATTTAATATTACAAAGAACAGAAGGCTAATTTTTCATAGCTTTGACGACTCCATCCCATAAAACTATGTTAACGTACCAAATTTTAGCAAATAAGCCGTTTTATATTTAGGTATAATACGAGGGCGGGTCTTTTTGAATGAAACAGGTTTTTATATAAAAAGTTATTTTATTTTTCAACATAGTCTCCTTTGAGTTCTATACACTTAGTCCAACGTTTCTCCAATTTTTGTTATCCCTTCCGAAAAATATGATTTGCCGAGGTCATCAAAATAAGCATTTGTTTGTGAGATTATTTCGTCGTTGGAGTCAAATCTCTTTCCGCCGAGCTATTTCTTCAAGTTTGGGAACAAGAAATAGTCACTCGGGGCTAAATCTGGTGAATAGGGCGGATGAGGGAGCGATTCTTGCCCAATTCATGGATTTTTGCCATGGAAACTGCACATGTGTGCACCCTTGCATTGTCCTGGTGGAAAAGAACTTTTTCTTGGCCAAATGCGGTGGTTTTTTTTCAATTCCTCATTGAATCGACCTAATAAGTTGGTATAATATTCGCCATTGATTGTTTTCCCCTTTTGAAGGCAGTCAATGTGGACTATACCGCGTGCATCCCAAAAAACGGTCGCCATGACTTTATTGGCTGACAAACCCACCTTTGCCGACTTTGACTGCTGTTTGGTCTCCGGTGTGTTGTGGTGGATCCACGTTTCGTCCACGGTTACGAAACGGCGCAAAAACTCGTCCATACTGCGGTTGAACAACGCTAAACATTTCTGCGAAATTGTCACACGGTTGCGGAAAGCTTTCTCATACCCAAGTGATCATTCAAAATGGAAACCACCGAGCCATGTGAGATGCCTATGGCTTCCACAATCTCTCTCACTTTCAATCTCCGATCGGCTAAAACCATATTGTGAATTTTTTCCATTGTTTCGGTTGTACACTGAGAAAAAATTCATATAATGGTTATAAAAATTATTATTACCTCAATTAAATTTTTGTATACTATATGTGACAATGAGACACTTTCTTATGGTTATATTCCAGGGTTTGCTAATACTAGTTTATAACTAGTATGCAACTGTATTATTATATTTATATGACAGTAATATTATCATTAATATTTAAGCTATTGATTATTAGTTTTCTGTATAGTTACTGCAATTTACTTAGTTTATAACTAGTATGCAATTGTATTATTATATTTATATGCCAGTAATATTATCATTAATATTTAAGCTAGTGATTATTAGTATTCTGTATAATTACTGCAATTTACTTTTTAAGTTAGGGTAATAAATCATGATTCCTACTACAATAAAAAAATCTATTTTGTAATACTTACCCAGTATTATAAAGTTTTATATCAGTTATTACAAAATACAGTACACAGTAAAATGCCAAATAGTAATCACAAAATCATGGTTTAATAGACAGAGATATGCGATAGATATAGGTAATTAAAACTAATCTATAAAAAAATACGTTTATTTTAAAATATAATATATATTTATAATAACAGTAGAATACATTCATTATTATAAGTTATGGAAATATATCAATGAGATCAAAAATCAGTCACAATATGTTTATAACTAAATTATGTATAGTAAGACAGAGAAAAATGACACAAGTCAATAAAATAAACAGAGATCATAAATCTAGAATGGGTCATAATTTAATTAGTAAACTTCAAATGTTAATAAAAGTGAAATCATTTATATAGTATGTAAACAGATTTATATCGAAAATTCGACATTTTCTGTAACTTCCATGTGTTCA